TGCGCATGGGCGTACACGTGGTGCTCGTTAAGCCCTACATGTAGTAACTGCGCATGGGCGTACACGTGATAGTCATTAAGCCCCTACCTGTGGTAGCTGTTTGGATATTCGTCTGAATACCATGTAATACAGGTCCCATGCCTGAGTCAGATCCTTGACGTTGTTAGATTTCTGGTATCTACGACACCATTCTTGGGCTTCCATCAGGTCACGGCCATACGCCTGAGTATTAAAGTCAGTTTGAATGATAATATTAAGTATTATTAAGTATTATTAAGATAATATTAAGGTGGGAAAACCATACCACCAATGCCCTGTGACTAGAAACTTAAAGGATTCTCCAAAACCATTAATTAAACCAAATCCCCAGACCCCTAGAATCCAAATGCTTCCAGCACCCCAGAACTTCAGACCCCAAAGCCCTCAAGATCCCTAGACAACTAGATCCCAAGCTTTCCAAACTCCTAAACCCTCAGACTTCTAGACCTCCAGATTCCAAATGCTTCCATACCACTAGAACGTCAGACCCCAAAGCCCTCAAGGTTTCTAGATCTCATGACCCAAAGAACTTCAGACAGATTTCCTAGCTTTTCCTTTTGATCCCTAGCTTTTCAGGCCAGACCCAAAAGAGACGGCCACCCCAAGCTCCTTAGTAGGGTGTATACGTCTCAGTACCATACTAACCTGATTGAAAGAAGTTTCTTTTAGGGTCTGAGGTCCTCGTTCCATCATCTGATGCAGAGGCTCCAGTACAGCAAACATCCCCTTCACGTTACCTTCACCAAAATACAAGCGTGATGCTTCCTCTAATCCCTCGTGCCATAACTCGTGCCAGAGGATAGCCACACGAATGAGTTCTTCGCTCACCTAAAATTAATCCATGCTGAAGTAAGTAGAGAACTTGTGCTGCATTTATGTGAAGACAAGAGAGCATAAATAAGAGAGGGAAACTTCTTAATAACGCGCGCGCCATGTAAATTCCCGGTTGGGCTATTTTTAGTAACCCGATGCAGCTTAAATTTCGACTTACCCTACTCCCCTGCGTCATCAACTTTGCGCGTGCGCTCTTTCCGTTTATTGTTTTGATCGCTAAAATCGAAAGTGAAAGAGTGTACGCGCGCAAATTGATGAAAAACGTTTTTCTATTTTACGGGACTAAATAGACGCCATCTTGGAAATATGTCCCCACGATGCACTGCAATGCCAACTCCAACCTGCTTTTTCTTCAATCTCGGAATGGCTAATTCGATCTGTGATTTAGCCATTTTTATTACATAGTCAGGATAGTACGCGCGCACTGATGGATCGAAAACTTTGCTTTATTAGTGAAGGGAGCACAGTGCTGACGCCATCCGCGCGCGTGAAGTGCTGCTAGATCCTGCGACCGTCTTTCTTTTTGCGTAAATAAATTCAATACCGAAAACAAATTAGTAACTATATAATAAAACGAATAAGACAGCTTTTTCCGTGCTCCATTCAGTAATAAAGCACGCAGAAAGTGGCGTGAGCACGAAAGAAGTGTAAGGACAAGCACGAGCCGTAAGCTGTTTTATTCGTAAATCTTAAGATTTTGGTTCTAGTCCTTGTGTAATTATTTTGGGAAGGAGGGGTTGTAGTCTAAACTAGGGATGGTTCTGCTCATTTTCTTACCATTATTGCTTGTTGTACAAGTTGTTTGCTGTGTTCGCACATGTTCTTTAGGATCTGATTGGCTGCACTGTAACGCGCACTGCTAGCTGACTTGGATGCCACTGTGAGGGGATAGATAAGAGCCTGGACAGAAAATGGTATGTTGTTATTAATATCATTGTGTATGTTGGTATCATCATCGCCATCGTCATCACCATCACTATATTAATCATCACGAACATTATCATCATCACCAACATCACCATCATTATCACCATCATCATCATCACTATCATTATCATCATCATCATCACTATCATCATCATCACCACCACCATCACTATCATCATCATCTCCACCACCACCATCATTATCGATATCCTCATCCTCATCATCACCATTATCATCCTCATCACCGTCATCATCACCATCATCACTATCATCATCACTATCATCATCAATATCATCATCAATATCATCAACACCACTACCACCACCATTATCATGACCACCATCATCATCACCAACACTATCATCATCAATATCTTCTTAAATAGCACATCAACATCACTCCAGCCATCAATATCAACTGTCAATTTCAACGTCATCACCAACATCATCAAGGACGTTATCATCATGATCTTCATCATCGTCATCAACACATGCATACTGTTCAACCCTTCTTATCATTATCATCATCCTCATCATCATCTTCATCACCGTCATCAACACATGCATACTGTTCAACCCTTCTTATCATTATCATCATCCTCATCATCATCATCATCACCATCATCAACACATGCATACTATTCAACTCTTCTTGCCTGTGGATGGTGTTTTCCAATATCAGTCAACAGTTGATGAATAAGTCTTCCCACCAGCTGTCTAGGTGTATCAATCCTGGCAATCAGCTGTGGTATCACCTGTAGCCACGTGTCTATCTGGATGGTCTTGATCCCTTCCACCAATGACTCGTACACTTCTGATTGATGACCGTAGTCGAACCACAGAGTAAGCAGTCTGAGCGTGTCTTGAAGGGAGTTACCGCTGGACAGGGCGATGGATTTAAAGAAACCTCGTACTGCAGGAACAGCGTAGGAGATAACGGGATTTACGGTCTGGTAAGAGATTGGCTGCGTTAGTGACAATGGCAGTCTTTGGTTTGTGGGGTGGAGCTATAACTACCCCAATCCACCCCATAGGGATGGAATACTAGTTTATTGAATGTTATTCTGAACAATAGACTTTTATTTAACCTTGAGCCTAATGTTTTCACATTTCAGACAACGTGTCATTCTCCTGGGAATAAGATTCTTTGTTTGAGTTGTATCCATATTCATGTGTCTTCTCATGCACAATTGTTAAACAGAGCAATGATACTCTAGAGAATGACACATGGAACTAAAATAGGAGAACATTACGCCCTAGCTAAAGTAGTCTATAGGCAACCAACTTTTACTTCTGGTTTGGGAGAGATAATAAGCGAACACAATGCAAGTGCATCGACCAAGCTCTGGAACTCTGAAAAATAGTTTCTGCGCGATCATGTGACGGCAGCCATGTTGGATGCCAGGATCAATGCAATCGTTTTAGACGAGAAACAAATTCAATTCCCGAAAGTATAAGGATTTTATTGGTCTGTCATCCAACGTCCGCTGGTACGTGATGGCTATAAACCTCACTTCCCCTCTTCGAGTTCTACAGCCAATGAATGCCATTCCCTCCCCTCCCAGGAGACTTGTTTATAGCACCAGGGACACTCTTGTTATACTCTCACCTTAGGAGATGGTGGTGGTGTCAGCGGGGATGCAGTGTTCACACCATTCTTTTCGAGTCCTTGTTGGTTCTTGTAGTACAAAACAGCCTCGAAGTTCATGAAGGCCCATGAATGCCATGCCTGTAAACACAAACGAAAAATTTGCGGTGTTTACTAGAGTAGAATAGTTTTCGTATGACCGTGAAAAGCTCACAGCACGATCACGAACGTGACACGGCAAGATATACGCCAGAACAATCACATTGCGCGAGAATTTACTTTCCATCCAATCAAATACCCGGAATACGGCATAAGCACGCCGCAGACAAGGTCTCGCCAAGATGTAAATACCTTGTAACAGTTTCTGTCATTGTCGGTGGCAGCTGAGTAGTACTGAAGAATCTGAGGCATGGTGTTGTCGTTGAAGCCTTGGAGAGATGACATCCAGTCTCCTAGTTTGAGATAGCACCTACGACGACAAACAAACATCAAGATAAAAATGTTATAGATAGCATGAAACAACCTCTAGGTTGATCAGGGCACGGCTAACTTACAGATCAAACCCTGAGACAACCTCTGGGCTGATCTAAGTCAGGGCATGGCTAACTCACAGATGGAACCCTGAAACAACCTCTGGGCTGATCTAAGTCAGGGCATGGCTAACTCACAGATGGAACCCTGAAACAATATTCTGGGCTGATCTAAGTCAGGGTAAGGTTAACTCACAGATAGAACCCTGAAACAACCTCTGGGCTGATCTAAGTCAGGGCATGGCTAACTCACAGATAGAGCCCTGGGCCCAGTTGTTCAAAGCCCGATTAGTGCTAATCCTGGGTTAAATCCTAATAAGACCTATAGAGTTAATCCTGGATTAGAGCTAATCCAGCTTTGAACAACCCGGCCCTGAAACAACCTCTGGGCTGATCTAAGTCAGGGCATGGCTGACTCACAGATCAAACCCTGAAACAACTTCTGGGCTGGTCTAAGTCAGGCCATGGCTAATTTACATATTGTACAAGTCAACTCGTACCTCGCTACTAGTTTGAGTAGTTCTTCTCGTTTATTGTCGTCGTCAGTTGGAGAAAGCGACTGCAAGGCTTGTTGGTGAAGAGTCGTATGAACAAAACGCTGAAGGTGTTGGAATGCATCCTCCTGGGAAACGAGCATTTACGAAAAAATGATAAAATGCCTCTTGACAGAAGCTACAACGAAGGAGATTAGGAGCTAATCTGCCTCTCAGAGACTGGGTAAAGAATTTGGGTGAACAGCAATAGATAACATTAAGCTTTGTATTATATATACTTATTTCAATAAAGTTAGTCACCAAAAACCTAGAAAGCTGTGATCACTGAGAATCATGGACAAATGTTTTATATCCAACAAGTAAAGCTTTTGACACAAACTGCAGCAGTTGAGGATGCTCAGAGGAGGTGAACTTGTAACTGGTAGAAGATCTCAAGTCCATCAACAGCTATCACGCTGTTGAGACATGCAAAATGTATCTACCCATAATCCTTGTCGGTGTCAGCTTTGTAGCTTTTCAGGTGACTAACTTTATTGAAAGAAGTGCGTATATTTCTCAGATTACAAGACGAACTGCTAGTAAAAACAATATGGTTATAAATATGTTTTACATAAAAAAAGAAAAAGAAAAGTAAAAATAGAACAAAAAAAACTTGATTAGATACAAAGTTTAGTAAAATACAAAAACGGAGAAAAAAATAGAACAAGATCAAGAAAAAAAAACTTGGTTAGTTTAGTAAAATAAAAGAAGAAGAAGAAGAAGAAGAAGAAGAAGAAGAAAAGAAAAGAAATAGAACAAGAACAAGAACAAGAACAAGAACAAGAACAAGAACAAGAACAAGATCATCGTCATAAATCCCACTTTTTGTCCCCCGACTTTTTTTTCCTTTAAACCTTAATTACTTATTCATTTTAAGTCCAATCAAAGAGAGATTTCGTGTATTGTAAGATAATWTTTAGTTAAAACTCCTCTAAAGTTTTGAGCAATTTAGTGTAAAGTTTGGTAGCCTTTTTTCCAAAAAATCCCACTTTTACGGGACATTTTGTAAATGGGCGCGTAAAAATTGTATTTTTTCCGAAAATTCCCGAAACTTTAAAGATAGCTTGTACACTTCAAGAACAACTATTATCCATGGAGCTGGCTGGGGAGCAGTTGATTTACGCCGCGGGACAAAAGCTTTTAAATATTGAATTAAATCCCTGACTATTCTGTGTAACTTTGTAAGACCTGCAGCGAAATGAAGGTTTTCAAAGTTTGGAAAAAAAGTTCACAGGTCTCAAAACTCTACTAAATAGTATCTTATGATGCTTCTTTGGACTTCATGTTCATTACTGACATCACTACTACTGTTTGTGGTGGCATCAACCTTCAGCAACAAAAATTGCATAATTTTTAACGTCTTTTTCGTTTGAGGCCCGACTTCACACCAAAAATGGGAATTGTCCCTTCTCGAGTTTTTCTTTAATAACTTTCTTGAAATAAAAGCAATCTTGGGCCAGTTTTCAGACCACGTTTACTTCATCGCAAGTAATATAAATATCAAGAGTTTTTCTTTTTGGATACGATAYTTGCTAATTTATTTGAGTTTTTCTAGTTGCGCTAAGGGACAAATCCCGCTTCAATAAAATTGAATTATCTCGGAGAAAAATACAGTAAAGTTAATGAAACTTAGCGATGAGACATCTTTGAATGTCTTTATTAMGATACTATAATGTTTTGAAAAAAGAGCAACTGGAAATAAGAGAAAAGATAACCTTAATTTTGAAAATACACGTTGTCATGGTAACCCCAAAATAGCCTCTCAGCGCAACTATTTTTTTACCTACGATAACTAGTACCAAAAKACTTATTTCGGTGTTATTCATACAGTTCTAGACTCTTATTCAATAATTTTATGATTTTTTATATTTTTAGAAAAAGCGGCTTAGCGCTTGGTTGTGGTGGCGCGTTACAGCTCTCTAAAAATATGTTATTTTTCCAAATCATATTTTACCTGGCCAAATGCAAGTCGAGATGTTTAAATAACACAGCAAAWGCTTAGATTCACGATCTGACTCATTTGCAGCTATTTAAAGGGTATTGAATGTTGCCATGGCAACGACCTACACTTATATCAAATTTGTTATTTTTGTGTTCCTTGCATTACACTGTTGAATAACTGCTAGTTTTTTACGAGAAAATATTATGTTTAGTTATGATAATAGTGAAATCTTAAGTTCATCCTATTGAGAAAGCTCCATACGCTCCTGTATTCTGCTGTTCCATTCCAAGCTCTTTCTCTCTGAATCCAGTTGTGATCAGGTAAGCCATGTGCATTTGAAGTCCTTGGAAAATTGCTAGATTTACACTGTTATTGAACTTTAATTTATCTCAAAGATTGTAATGATGCTTTCAAATTAGATATATATTAARATGGACATGCTAGTTTCAACTTTTTTGGTCTCAATTTTCAGATTTCTAGAGTTTTTTTYCGAGCAGCTGAGCAATACCTGTAAGTATTGAATTAAAATATTATCGTCATTCAACAACGTTTTCCCTTTTAAATTGCCCATATTACTATAAAATATTGTATTTTACAATAGAATGAAATGTGTAGGGTCTATATATCTGCATAGTTAGTCTGTCTTTCAAATTTAAACGCGAATCCCATATTTACTTGTAAAACTGGAATGGTTTAGGGACTACGGCGTTGGCTCAAAGAGATGCAGTATTGATTGGGTTATTCACGGAGGAAAAGATGCTGCCTTTTTAATAACATCTAAAATTGAATCTTTTGCAGTGTGAGCTAGACAATCATGCTGAAAGTTAATAAAAAGCTTCCTACTAAGAAGGATTGCAACTTTTTGTATCTTCAAAATGAAGCAATTTTAGAACAGGTCCAAGAGGTTAGTAAAATGCTAAACTTAATTGAACTTAATTGTGTGCTCGGATCATTATTGTTTCATGAATCCTTTATTAAGGCCTTAGGATTGGACCTTATCTATGAGAGGGGGCGAGAGAAAAGTTGCGAGAGTTTTCGTGTTTGAGAGGTGGTGGGGACGAGGCTTTAAATTTACGGTACTAGATTATTAATATCGATGATCATATAATACGCTTATGTGACATAACGTTCTACCTCAATATTTATTATTTCGTTTTCTTTTACAAARGCAAGAAACACGCCACATTTGGAGTCTTATTTTGTTAAGGCAAAAAGTGTCATCGAAGAATATTATACTATRTGTTATAACGAGAACCTGTCAAGCCAGGATATTTCGTGTTTCGGCCACGACTTGGTGAGTATTTTACATACTACCCGAGAGAGACTGATTTCAGTATGAGTTATAAGAAAAATAACTAAAACCTTTTACTTCGTTTCTTTAGATAGAGGACATGGAAGACTCCATCACCAGAGAGCTAGTTCGCGTCGGACGTTTCCACGATAGTAGTGGCAATGACGATATCAATAGTACTCTTAACAATGTAGATGACAAACCAACGAAGGGACAGGAAGCCCCAGAAGTCAAGGAAACCGAAGAAGATAGAGTACCGAAAAGAAAGTTTCCAAAATGCCCAAAGTGCGGGAAGAAGGTGAAGGACATCCATCGTCATCTTATATCAATGCATGGTGCTAAAGATAGAGAAGAAGCAAAGAAAATGCGCACGGATTCAGGAAAATGCAACAAAGATAAGAGKCCCTTAAAAACCTGCCCWGCATGTAAAAGACAGGTATATCGCTTGGATAAACATCTTCCGTCAGCCCACCCAGAAGAGTACTCAAAAGACTCTATAAAATACAAGRAAGCAAAACAACAAGCAAGAGAGGAACTGTTAGTCAAAAAGCAAAGCACTTATGGTGAAGATCCCACGCCGCTCTTACCCCATTCTGTAGTAAACGACCAACTGGAAGAAGTCAACGAGGAATGCACTCCTGGGGAAGAACCCAAGCTGCCAAAGCCCCATTCTGTAGTAAGCCACCAACTTGAAGAAGCTRTCAACAAGCAAAGCACTTCTTTGGAAGATCCAAAGCAGCCAGAGCCCCTTTCAGCAATGGACAAACTGGAAGAACTTGAGGCTCGAAACGAGCAAACAAAAGACAAGATGAATGACGAAGGAATTCAGCTGTTAGCAGAAGTAGTAATGGAAATGGAAGAAGGTRAAAAGACGGAACAGTTGCAGAAAAATGCTGAAGAAGAAGTGCCTGTATCTGATGATGAGATATTATTTGACGACRATTTTCCATCATTTGATGAAGACAAGGAACGCTTTCCAAAGCCCTCAAAACCTTGGTCTGCTTYCGGTGATCGTGAAGACTATCTGGAAAACTGTTTATCCAAGTTTTGGCGCCATCTTCTAAGGCCAGAGGGAGGTATGAAGCAAACTGAACATGATGCAGACTACGTTGCTAATCAAGTCTACCGGATGCTGTTTCTCCTCAGTGATACAAAAGAGTCCAATTTGAATTTCGATGTCCTTAGAGACARCGAAAAAGTCTGGGACAACTTTATCGGATGCAAAGAAGGAATACCAGGAAAGCTAAAAACACAAACAAAGTATTGCTACATGCTGTCAATGGAGAAATTTCTTAACTTCATTCTAAACGGAAAGAGCAAAATTCAGCTTGCCACTGATGCTGAGAAAGAGCTTCGCATAACTCTTTCCTCAATCCCTGGGTGGAAAGCTGCCCTAAAGCCCAGACTAAGAAAAGAGAGAGCTGCGAAAAAAACGGAGAAGTACAACTCAAGACTCCAGCTGTATGAAGTTCATGAAATGCTACAATCCGGTGGTGCCCAAGATGATAGAGCATTAATTATGAATGCTACGGAGTCATCAATTTTATCCATCCAGGAACACAGGCAAGCCCGGGACTACCTCATATTCATGATAGTTCACAGCAACGCTCAACGCGCTGGAATTGGAAAAGGSCTGCTTTTATCAGAATTCAGAAGTGCAGAATGGCGAGAAGAAGATGAGCGCTATGTAGTATTGGTGAGTGATCACAAGAATAGCGTGGATGGCCCAGCGCCCGTCGTCATGGATAAAGAACTTTACAACTTGATGCAAAAGTATTGCGATTTTTTCCGCCCTATTGCTGTGGCGGAAAATGGTGGCAAAGATTGCGGCTCCTYCTTTCTTACTCGAAATGGCAGCCAGGTGACCACCACCAGCGTATCTCACATCTTCAACGCCGTGGGAAAGAAATATGGCCGAGTGGACAAAGGCAGACTTTATCCTACCAAATTTCGCCAGACGGCTGTGACTTCTTTCAGTCGAGAATCCCAGCAAAAGCGTGATGACTTATCAAAACTGATGACTCATCGCGAGAGTACCGCAAGATGCTCCTAYCTGTTAGAAGATACCATAAGTCGATCCATAACGGCACAGAAAGAACTGGCAAAGAAATTCATGCCTGACGAGAATAAAAGGGACAAACAAGAAGAAAAGAGTGCATGCGCAGAAGATGACTCAGCCCCACAGCTCCCCGAAAGTGTTTTAGATCCTRAAGAAAAAGTAGAGCAATGGGAGATAGCTAGCACAAGCACAAACACCATCCCACCAACCGTCATTTCAGACACCAATAGAAGATTGTGGAGTAAGGGGAGCGAAGCCACTCTTCGAAGAGTTTATGGGCACTTATTGAAAAAGGGCAGAGGATATCCMAAGACTGAAGAGATTTTAGAAGGCATCARGAAATCCAAGGACGAAGACTTCCAGATGTTGGTTCTGTCCTTAGGAAAGGATGCAAAGCGTGCTATACTTGCAAAGTGCAAGTCCATGTACAAAAACGTTAATAAGGCTAACAAGTAAATTAAGGGCAAATAAAGACTTTCCTTCTTTTACAAGCTCATAAGTTAGAAAAAAATCGCTGACATTGAACAGACAGTTGATAATCACATGTTAATTAGTTGGAAAAACGTTAATAAGTTTCCAAGTGGCGTCTTTATTCAAATAGTTCGTTACATTATTCAATAAATATACCTTTGCACACTTAACCTATTGTGAATCTAACCCAAAGGACTCCTTTCGGTCGTAAACTATCCATGAGTTAWAATTTTAGCAAATAACACAGATTTGGCCCAGACTTGTTATTTTTTATGATATTGATATTAAAAACAACTCAAGTTATGATTAATTCACCCACGTTGGAAAATAACATGAATTTTCATGAATAAAATTAACAAGAAAGCTTTGAAACGGTAAAATAGACATTTCGGGACAATTCCCTTTGAAGGGACAAATCGCAGGGGACATTTCCCTGTCTTGTGGGACAATTCCCGGTGAAGGGACAAATCCCGGGAGTAAATTCCCTGTCTCGTGGGAAAATTCCCGGTGAAGGGACCAATCCCGGGGACAAGTCCCAGTTTGCGGGACAATTCCCACTTTTGATGACGTCAAAACGGGATATGTCCCGGATTTGTCCCCTCAGGCGGGACAAATCCCGTATACATATGAACAAGAACAAGAACAAGAACAAGAACAAGAACAAGAACAAGAAGAAAAGGTTGACTTTGTAATAAATTCCACAGAAAAAACAAAACTGGGTTTTACAGTGCGTTTAACGCTCAAAAAAGTGTCAATGATGTCTTTCTTGACAGATAACTTGCTTTTCGTCCACGCATGCGCAAGGTATTTTTTCTCTCGTGTTCCTCGCGCGTAACCAGGATGTGTCTCGAAAGCTGCTTCTTACCTAAATATTTGTTTTCCAAAATATAAACCCATTCCATTACATATAGGGATTAAATATGTAAGAATATAAGACTTTGCTTTAGAATCGAATTTTTTTATGAAATTTATAGGATATAATACAAAACATCTGATCTGTAATAATGAAACCTACGTGCGAGAATATACTTCAAATCTCTTTCTTGTTTGAACACAAACCAAATATTGGCCTCTGACGATTGTTGAGCTCATGCAGTAAGAATTACGACGTACAACTGGCAAATTGTACAAATATATACAATTAATGTTCTTTAAGAAGCCAGAGTCAACTAGGCCTTATAGAATAACTTTAAATCCTGGCTGTAACTCTTCAACGATTAAAATTAAGATGCTAGATCGACTTTGCGAAAGTCTTCTTCGCTCACTCGCTCGCGTAATAAATATCCTTCGAAAAGAGAGGTCTACTTGGGGCAATGCAGTGTGTTACTAACTGGGTTTCGATTACTAGTTGCAGCGCATTTACATATCGTAGTCTAAAACAATTTACGTTTAATAATATTTCTATTGCTTATCCTTGTCTGGAGTATTTTAAGGAATTTAGCAACGTATTAATGACTAAGAAAAACGTGTTTACTTTACAATATGAAGATGCTATGTTAGTCGAAAAGCGGTTAAAAGTTTTTCAATGTGACCATGTTGTAGACACAAACGCTTTTCGACTAAGATATCTTAGCATGGTCACATTGAAAAACTTTTAGCCGCTTTTGGACTAACATAGCATCTTCATATTGTAAAGTAAAAGATTATTCCAAGACGCTTAACATTGAATTTCGTAAAATTCGTTTGTTACACATTCTAGGTTCGATAAAATGACAAAACTCACAATTTCCAGTTTAACGTGAAGTGAAATCGTATCACTTCACTGATATGGTTTTTATTCCCCGCTTTATTACACTGATATCGACCCAAAAAGTGTAATAAAGCGAGTCATAACGATGATAAATATCAGAAGTCGTGAGAAGCACTGGAAGCTTCGAATGTGGAACCAATTCCAAGCGGGAACTTAGATGTTTGAGATGACGCGCCCTTTACCTCCTCGTTCCCGCCAAAGATCGGATTCCAAAAGAGCACTTGCATAAAGCCACCAGTATAGTGGAATAATATCAATCACATGTAATTCATCCTACGCAGAATTAAACGCGAGTCTTTAAGATACTCAAAATTACCTTCAAAGTATTCTCGTTCCTGGTTGGACGACAACTGTGAGTCCTTCGTGCTTCGTGCTTCGTGCTTCGGTACTCGATCCTCGATTGCCAATGACCTTTTGGAATCTACACAATGCGCACGAATGTTTTCGCTTTGCGTTGCTATAACAAACTTTGCGCTGGCTGGTCTTTTTTCAACCTTGAAGAGAGGGGTAGGGATGGCCGGGTAACATTTGAGAAAGAGAGAAAAATTATCGGCTAACTTCTCATACCAATAATGCATGAGTCATTTGAAAGCCCCGCATACCCCCCCCCCCCCCCTTCGGGCATTACCGGGGTCATTACCGGGCTTCGCGACTACTGCCAATATACGGAATATATTTTCTCCCAACTAGCCGCCAATATAAACCCGTATTGTCGGCTCAAAATCGCAATAAGTTATAAATATTCATTTGAATGAACGTTTCATTTTAGGACAGTTTTGTTATTGGTTACCCCCCAAAAAGGAACTTTTGGAAGAGGGGAGGGGTGGGGACGTTTTTGTGGTGATGTGGCATGACAAAGGAACAGCTCGTCGAGCAACAGAGCCATGCAGTGACTTTCTTAGCCCTATGGGGGAATGGTGGGGACGTTTTTGGTGAGGTGGCATGACAAAGGAACTGTTCGTGGAGCAACAGCCAGTGACTTTCTCAGCCCGTGGGGGGAAGAGATTATTGAAAGATTTAGTGCGCCGACCCAGACCTTATTTATTTACACAAGCAGTTTAGATTATAATCCAACTGTAAGCTTCATGAACTTGAACTCCCTTCTTTTTTCTATATT